GTATGTATGTATGTATGTATGTATGTATGTATGTATGTATGTATGTATGTATGTATGTATGTATGCCTCTTCGAAATGGACCATAAAGATAACTTTTCTTTGGTATAAGAAATACAACATACAGACCAGTAAGAGGTACAGCTTCTATGGTTACCCGGTAAACATAAGTTTAAGAATAAACCTGTAGTTGGTGAGTGACTGATTTGTGACGTAACTTTAGGCGCCCGCGATCTACACCGGAGCTCAACGTTTTGCAACCGATTTTGGAAGCGTGAAACTCGTCGGAGAACTGTGTCAAGCCATCGCGTCGTTGCCGGCAGGAACCATGAGCAAAGACCTGCAGCTGAGGATCAACCTTTTGAAATGTCTGAACAGTGTTTTCCTTCTGCCAAACTTGAAGAACGTGCTGACGTCTGGAGGAAGTACCGTAATCCCCTTAAATACACCGGAAGTACTCGAATTGCAGAACGTTTTAAAACAGTGCTCCAAAGACCCTCTGGTATGAATTTTTATGAGACAACGTTCAGAATGTGCATTGAATGTTTCTGTGTGGAACAGGTTCAAACATTCATGAGAAATTTCATTGACATATAGCGTACAAGATATAGTTACGTTCATCTTTCGACTGTTCTGCCAGCATATAAAATAAGATTTTTCATGCTCTCATTGCAGTGTTAATCAGTCCACAACGAATCAGTCGGTATTTGCTTAAATACGCTTGCTACTGCTTCTGCATTCTTGCCACAAAGTTTACCAGTCCGAGTACACGCTGTACTTTGATGCAGCAGAAGTTGAAACTCCATTGCTTCCCTTCAGCTACCAGCATTCCTGTAGGAGGAGCTCCAATAAACTTGAGACACAAGTATGAAATTTCTAAAGCTAAACCAATCATAAAGAGGAGCTATTCTTGCCTTATTCGCTGTGCGTAAAATGTTTTCATGAAATTCGCGTATTCAGGAAATTTGCAGCAACACGATAATATGAAATTTTATGTTCATCTATCGATTTGCATATCTATATTGCAAGTTGTTTAATAAGTATAGCATGAAGACTTTGTTAATCATACGCATGGGGCAAAAATTTTGATGCAGGATCAAGGTTCCGCTGTTACAAACCTTAATCAGCTGCTAATTATACCGAAACTACAATATACTGTAATACGGTCAAATAGGATTGTCATGATGTAATTAGAGTTACTTTCTTTGTCGGAATTTTACAAAAGTTTCGCCATCACATATAGATATAAACAAATTCAACTTTGTCCATGACACTGAGTTACATCTGGATTAAAAGCTTTGAGAAACTAAGCGATATTCGTAGTTGTCAATCGTTGCTAGAGCATTTTTTTGTTAAAATCGGCATTGTGCCCGCAGTTGATAAAGGATGGCAACATCGGCCGAAACCTTGGTCGTGGACCATAAGGTTTTAGGCCGCCCACCATTAAGAGAGTCTCAATATTTTTGCATAGCGTTAAGTTATTTTTCTTCCTTCTGCACATTGTACTGATTATTGCGCATCATAATTAGCCATAAGGAGAATCATAGCAAAAGCAAGCCATGATAAGTAAGCACTCGCCTAGGACAGCATAACTGCACATCTAACCGGTTCTGATACGACTGCACCAGAATGCCATGCTGCCGACGTTTTTCGCAACTCAGCCATTTGCTCGCTGATTATCGATCGATTGAACTGAGGCAACGTTGGGGAATTATCCAGGAATACTATTCAGATTAAAATCCGGTACCTCTGGAGTTCGAAGCCGGTCTTTTACCACTGTGCCACAAATACTAAGTATTTGCTGATCTACCAAACTATTTCGTTCTCGTCTCTGCTATGACCATACCGTCTTTTCAGTACGCCTAAGACTTATGTAATGATAGTGGTCAAAATTTCGCACCCAAACTTGAATCGCCGTAGATGGCATTGAATTGAAGCAGCTACCAGCTTACCGTAGCGTGGTTGCATATTGGACGAAAAAGATATTTTTCAGTGTCTATGAGCAGTAGGTACTTGTATGAGAAACATCGTACTATAGAAAATTTATGGCATCAGAAACTCAATGCAGTTGAGGTTGGTACGACCTCTAGTTTGGATGGCTGCTGGTTATGCATCTAAAAGTTGGACCATCAGGAATGTATAACTTAATAGTACTGAAACCTTGGAAAAAGATGGCTATCACGGGTCACTCAGATAAATCCGCTAGCAGCTGAGCAAATCTTCTGAATAAACTTCCTCGCTTTAAAAAGAGTTCTCAGAGGAAATTAAAATATTTTCTCGCCCGTTGAGACGTAGTGAATTAGAAAACTTTATTACGCCTTTCGCGAAATTAAGCTCTATTGATTCTTATCATCAGTTTATTGTTTCGCAATGATGATCCTTCTTCGCTTGTCAAACACCAGGTTGCTCAAGAGTTGCAATGTCTCTCGTCTCTACACTTCGCATTTTGACATTAGAAGAAGGAGAGAGTTTATACCTAATCGACAACGGTGTTGGCTATCGGCATTTCCGTCATGTTTCATCTCCCATGTATGCTTCCAGGGAGCAAGCAAAGCCTGAATCCTTCTGTGCAGAGGATTGAACCAAATTAGTCTTATATCTTTAAGCATCTCTGACATCTGGCAGTTCAGCTGACACCAAAGCGAGATCGTTCCTAATGCATTCGTACCGATCGATTTTCAAAATGGGTCGCATACAGTATAGTTTGACACGGTTCAGTATTCTCTTGCTTGTGCGTGTCAGTAGAGCAATATCAGTCTGGTGCAGCTCAGAAGTCGGATCCTAACACAGATAGTTATTCCATTTTCAGGTCAGATTTTCAAGCAGTTATTGAGGATTAAAAACGTCAGTGTATTCCTCTTATTCAACACCAGATCACAATTATTGACAATGAAGTAGCTGACCCGTGGAGCTTCTTTAATCATGCTATTTTTATGATATACTTCCGCTTCATCCTTTCCGTTTGGATTTCTCATTACCTTAGTTTTCGACGGCTTCAACTTCTGGGTCTGATTTCACTGCACAATGCAGCATATGACTGTTTGAAATATTCATTACCGTGTTTATGTCGATCATTTTCTACTTAGATGATGAAGCAGAAGGAGAATCAGCGAAGAATGCACATGCTTATGAAAGCAGTCTTGGATGGAAAGTCAGTTCCGTTAGAGGACCTATTGTTCGTTTTCAATCTCTTCGCTAAGGACCTGACCGTAAACTTGAAAAATGTCCAGCAGCTGGTGAGTCTGATGACAAACCGAGGAATTTTCCATGTCGATGAAATGTGGAAAATCGTTCGCAATTTGAACGCTTTGAAGAGACAGCTGCTCGACGTGCCAACCATCGCTCATGTGATCGGTCAAGACCTGGTTCTCAGGTACGATGGACGGATCATGTCGAAACAAGCTGTGATGAATGAAATGTCGGATTTGGACATCATCAGTCGGAAAACTCTTTTAAGGGTAAGTTTTATATCGAGATCTGCCAGCTTTTGATTATGTATTTGATCTGTGCCACTGCTGTTCCCCGTAGACTTCTATCCTAACCAAAGATCATGCCTTAAGTCCAATAATGCGACAGCTAATTGCTCCTTTTGTGTGTTATTTTACTCAGCCCACCACAAATCCCCTACCCGGATATGAAAGTGATGCTTTCAAGGAACCAGTAAGCAACCAGGGACTGATGAAATAACGAACAAAAGCATGAATGATGTTTACGTGATATATTTAAATAGCAAGTGCTAGACCGAGCTTTCGTCTCTCCAAAGCTGTGGCTAAAGTGGCTAACTGCAACTGCACCTATCTAAAAGATATGTCAGGCTCATACACATCTCTAACCGACGTTCCTGTCTGTATTCACGCAGACCTTGCTGCGGTTACTACCTTTACGGTTGCTACAGTAAACGGTCAGCAAACTTGCTGACCTATTTGTGAAGACTTCTCACATCAGATGAAATAGTACCCTCTTAAATATGCTCTATCAGTCATATGCTGCCCTTTGTTTATCGTTTTATTTTCAAACTGATACCGTTATGCTGAATGAATCTAAGTAGAGTCTAATAGCGAGTCATCTTCTGATCTAATAATCATCACAGGAGCAAAACAGCTTCAACGTGAAATGACCCTATTTCAAACTGATCATTCGGATAGCAATGAAGCTGTACCTCAAGATTTTACTAATAGATCGTTTATTTTGTTATGTACTTGTAATAGTGAACAACAATATGCACAATATGCATCAAGTTTGATCATTTACCTCATTTAGATGGATAACCCAAAGCCAACGAAAAAACTACCGGTGGTCGACTACACGACTGCGAAGATGGCAGTCGAAATGTGCAAATTCCTTTGCACTGTACAAAATGCGTTGAACGTGAATGACCAACTGGCCGTGGTAGTCGTCCGTGACGTTGAAAAGGTATTTCTTAGACCTGAAATCATGGCCGCCGTTTTACTTGGAAGACGAGCCCCATTGTCAGCGCTGGCGGAAAACGACGCCAAAGAACTACGCCTGAATCTTCAACGTCTGCTGACTAACAGACAGGTAAACTTTTGGAAAGTTTCGTCGATAACTGATTCATAAATACTTGTAAATTATTACTTTCATGAATGATGATATTTTGAGCATTTTTGAAAGTTTAGATTTGCTTAAACTTCGGTTCATTTTCGAATATAAGCTTCGCGGTCGCTCACAGATCATTTCTTTATTTAATGAGGTCCTACCGTATCCTTAGGAAATAAGGCTGAGCAAAGTTTATGACCAAAGTATTTCACAAGATTACGGTAATATATGCCACAAAATGAGGTTTTCTACACGACTCTCTTGTTTCTAGAAGGAGCATTTATGCAAATCATGGCTCAAAGGGTGCCTGGATGCAAAGCGGCGCGTTACAAGGTTTAAATCTCTAACCAAAATTTATTACTAGAACCTATCTCTCTGGAGGCTGATGAACAAGAAATTCATCAACTGTTTGGACCTGGCTCAGTGATCTCTGAATGTAAATGACACACGACTAGAACCATTTCGTTGTCTTCCACTCAAATATATTTCCCTGTTGCGCAATTTTGCAGCATTACCTCCATCAGAAATACGCAATCCATTCTAATTAGATTCATACTCATTAGGAACCATATTTCAGATGGAGTTTATACTGTTTATATGCTACCTCATTAGCATCAATATATGCTTGTACGTCGGAATATGTAAAATAGACATTACGTTTCCAGAACCACACCATGGAGCTGTGGCCTGCTTACATGGCCCCCTAGGTAATTGCAACCAAGGCGGTGGTTCACTACATAATGAAATTTGACACGCTCTGTCATTTTAACATATGTATGCTTTCCTAAACATGGTCGAAGCAAATTCAATCACTCATCCAATCTCTCTCGCCAGCTGATCCTCACCATTGATTAAGGTAGCGTTTATAAGCATGATTCGAGGTTCTCAATTATGTTAGGACTATAGTGAATTTGTTGATTCATGGTTGATTACCGGAATCCAGCGTTCGTTCAGTCCATTATCCGTCATGTTCGACAGTAACCCTGTTGCGGTATTATGAGCGCAGATGTGGTGCTATAAAGCGTTATTCTATATGACATTCACTCTTCGCTTTAAATCCATTACATGACACCGAGTTGATGGTAGAAGAAGTTTAGATGACGCCAAGACGGCAGGCAGCGATACAAATCGTTCTTATGGCGCTGCAGAGAAAAGAGGCCCTGTCTCTTGTCTCCCTCATGAACCTCTTCAACGAAATATGCTCTACAATTACAGTTCCAGCGCAACTATTTTTGCGCGCCTTCGCAGGTCTGAAGGTTCTGGGTGTCTTGCACGACGACGATATCAAGGAGATTCGCAACCGATTGTCAAGAATGAAGCCACCCCTCACGCTGGGCATGTTCCTGCAGGCTGTTGGCAACAAACTGTTCGTCAAAGAAGACGGCCGCGTTGTAACTAAGCGACGGATGGTCCTGGACATGATGGGCGACGGAGTCGCTGTCAAGAAGGTAAATCCTTTTGAAATAAACTGTAACTGAACAATTGGCCTTCTGTAATTTCATCGGCGCTCTTCGTGCATTTGCCTCTTGGTCTCACATACGGCAGTGATTATACGCAGTTTCATTGCAACGGTCTGTTTGTGCATTGGTGGTCTTACTGTAGAAGCGCGAAATACAGTATGATTGACTGAACATGAGCGGCAGTGAGGTTTTAATCAACCCGTCATGCAAAAACGGTGTCAGCATATAGAAACTCTGCACGGGTTGGATGGTCTCTCTCAGAGGGCCTGTCTCTTTGAAACTATTAAAGCAGCAGCTTGCATTCTAGCTGGAAACAGACTCAATGTTCTAGACATGTCAGTATTAGTCTATCGCCCACAGATCACCTCATTTCCGAATGTTTACAATTAACCTCTATTAGTGCTGTTTTGATGTATTTTATGCATAATTTGCTTTCATTGTCGTGCCTTGTTCTGATACGCTAATGGCAGTCTAAAAGAAGCATAGGGCGCGGCTTATTGATACACAACGGGCATTAATTGGTCAATCAGATGACTGACCTATACCGACGTTTTGGTCACTGTCTCATGTGCCTTGTTGAAAGTGCAGAGCTGGTTGACCTTCGAAAGTCCTGTTGGTCGTCAGACAACAGTTCGTCGGTTCGAAGCCAGATAACGCGCTTTCGGTCTGTGCCGCTAGTTAAATGATTTGCTGGCGATAGGGCGACATTGGCCATCCAATCCGCATTGACTTCGTTTCCTTTGCCACCCTGCACGTTATCGCACATCGTTATGGATGACCAACATTTCCTTGATGCGCCTGTTGAGTCAGTATGATTGATTATTCGACGACGTAGGTCACCATAGCCGTCATAGGCATGTCCTTCTAGCGTAGCGAACTGCCCTCTTTCAGGGGTATTTTCGCACTGTCTTGACTTCGCGCGTGGGTGGGGGGGGGGCAAACACGCCAACTCATACCCTACTTTCAGTTTAAAATTCTGATGTCGAAAGTGCCAGACACCGCGCGGCTAGGGAGGACTGTCCTGAAGGTGGTCCATTGGAGAGCCTTCCATTGTTTTGAAGATACAGTCGGTGGGTCAGTCCTCATTTAACACAAGGCTATTTATATTTAACGAATCTTTTGGTTGCAACTCACTTGATCCACTTGATATTTGACTACTAAGTGTGGTAATCAATATATTATAAACTGGAAAAAGTAGGCATTAGCACTGCTGGCTGATGCATTCGTAATGAAGATAAGTATTTATTTAAAGTCTCGCTGGATGAACATACAACTGACACAATCCCTGTTAGAAATGCAATATCCACAAATCCAAAATTGGCAAATTTTCGAACCATTCTTCCTTTCACACCGCCCCCTCCTGCTCAACATGTAAAATTATATAAACTTCTAAAATCTTTGCAGTCATACATTCGACGATGAATAGGATGATCAGTTCTGATATGGGCTCGCGAGACTAATGTCTTGACTAGAGATATATTTCTGAAGTAGAAAATTCTCATTCTTATCCAATGAATTGTGGTCATGTAGTTCATTTTGCACCCGGCTGGGGGTGATTAGCAAACAGGATGGTGATTTTCGTCACAAGGCTTTACTTGCAAATACAAGCAGACACGAAAGACAACAGTCTACACGAGATTTCATAATTTCCATATCTACACAGTGATCTCTTCCTCCCAAAGCTGACTGGTCCTTTTGTACGTTCGTGGGTTCTCTGTTCATCCTCAGGGACCAATCCGCATTGACTGACCTGCTGGTTGTACTTTCGGTGCAAGGTGCACCTTTGTCTTGAGGCGTGCGGAGGACGAGCGCTCCCTCTTTTGTTTGGCCCATTTTTCCTGTCCCGGTAGGGTGGTTTGTGGTAGGCAAGAGCCTGCCCATTTGTTCGCCTCACGTTTAAGGTGACGTGTGTGGGGCCGCGTCCAATTGCCTTTTCTTCGATAGAGCCGGACGTCGCTGACCGTTGCAATATATGTCTGAATTGACGTGAACATCGAAGGACAGGTTTCCATCAACTTCGTTGCTGCATACAATCACTCATCTACAAATCATCACAGTTATGCCTAACTTTCCTTCCTTGTGTACAACAACAAGAACCTAAGTTATCCATTCTGCTGATTATCACATGGACTTATCGGCGGTCTTGTGGATAAAGGTGAATGGAAGCCTTATATTGCGCTTCTACCAGAGAGCTGGGTCGTACCTATCGCCTGTTGTGGAATGACCAGACGATAACACCGTGTTAACGCCTTGCTTCTCGTTTCTCCGCTGGGTTCGCGGAGGCAACGATGAAAGTGAATTCTTTGCTCAAGAGGATTGGCGGAATAGACACATTTGGTTCCTTTCCTATTCGAATGCGGTACTTCCGGGGTACAAGGGCTCTTTATTGCTCTTTATCGTTGTGCCATTGCGCCCCCCCCCCACCCGAAT